TTGGATGGCCTGAGGGGGAGTATCAGCAATTTTTTCATTTTTAAATGTGAACTATTCCTTGAAGACAATAAAACAGTCCATTTTAATAATCAAACAGACCTGCAGTCTACCATCTAGCGTGCGTTGTATAGTCACACATTTACTGGGATGAGCTCCATTCGTAGTGATGGCAGTGATCAGAGAGTCTAACTCATCCTTCTTCTCTTTCAGCTTCTTCACCAAGCTCTCTATCGCTCGTTTGGAGAAAGACTCGCTCTCTCCTCCCTGTCGATGGCACATGAGACTGTGGACGATGCTCAGACAGGCATCATTACTGGTGGGTGTGCTGGAGACGGACATGCTGCTGGAATTACACTCAACCACAGGTGAGAATAAACAACGTCCTTCAACGCGTCTGTCTTCACACCTTGTTGTCGAGACGTGGTCCACACCAGCCTAAAAACACAGAGAGACCATAAGCATGACTTAATATACAATATTTTTGCACTATGCTTTAGAAAACAAACATACAATTATTTGACATGCCTGTAAAGCATGTTACATTGAATTCAGTCAGAAAAACAGACAGACAGATATATATATATACTGCTGTTCAAAAGTTTGGGATCAGTAAGATTTTTATTGTGTTTTAAAGAAGTCTCTTATGTTCATCATGGCTGCATTTATGACCAAAAAAAACAGGAAAAAAAACAGCATTATTGTAAAATATTATTACCATTTCAAATACTGGTTTTCTATTTTAATATACTTTAAAATATAATTTATTTCTGTGATCAAAGCTGAATTTTCAGCATCATTACTGCAGTCTTCAGTGTCACATGATCCTTCAGAAATCAGTATAATATGCTGATTTATTATCAGTGTTGGAAACTTGCTGCTTAATATTTTTTTGGAAACTGATACTTTTTTCAGGATTATTTGATGAATAAAGTCAAAAAGAACAGCGTTTATTTAGAATAGAAATCTTTTTCCAATATTGATAATAAATCAGCATATTATTATGATTTCTGAAGATCATGTGACACTGAAGACTGGTGTAATGATGCTGAAAATTCAGCTTTGATCACAGGAATAAATTATAAATGACTGTTTTTACTGTATTTCTGATAAAAAAATAATAAATGCAGCCTTGGTGAGCAGAAGAGGCTATTTAAAAAAAACAAAAAAAAAACAACAACATTACAAATCTTACTGATCCCAAATTTTTGAATGGCAGTGTGTGTGTGTGTATATATATATATATACACACACACACACACAGACAGACAGAAATGCATTAAACTAAAACAAATACAATTAAGTAGATTATGTTCAAGACTAGTGAAACATGACCTAATTGAGAATTTACATACCACATATCATTACTATTGATTACACACGGTTGTGTTCATATTTATGCAGAATTGTTGGTTTATCAGTTTAATTAACATCTAAAACAGCGATGATGGAAACACAAATCATCCCAATGAAGTCAAACTGATCTATTCAATTACAAACTCATCAAAAGCACATAATTACGTTTAATTATTATAGCAGCTAAATATGTGAACGCGATAATAATAAATCACAGTCCAGTCTGACAATACAACTGATCTCACTATGAGGCCAACGAGCTAACCGGCTAGCAGATACTCCTTATATATGTGGGAAACGGGCAAATAAAGTGCCTACTTTAGTGCTAGAGCAAAGTATTAAGTGGAAATTAAAAATAAAATGAGAAAATACCAACAGAAACACTTACGATTCATGGCGTCAAGGCACGGAGAACGTCTCTACGTAAGCGTGGTGACGTCGCCAGGAGCGTAAATACGCCCCGCCCACACAGACGCTGTTCTCGGTTCATGACTGAAAAAAACTGCTAGTAAAACAGCTGGTCAATGTGTTATATATACTAGGACGAGAATACTTAACCTTACTAAACAGCGCTGTGCTCACAGTGGTAGACTGTACTACATCTACTTACTGCAGTATGCAAATTGTCTGTATGCACAGAATTCCTGGAAGACTTGCTACGCAACAAGTGGCACAGAACCTTTTATTATAGTACACTGCATACTGTTTCACATAATTTTAAAAGAAATAGTAGGCAGTATACTGTACGTTTCTGAATTTAATTCAAGATTTGGCACTCCTAGACTAGGATTTCTTTTAATCTGTTGTCTTGGAACATCTGTAAACCTGTACGACAGGCAGAATCAATGGCGAATCTTTCTACAGAACTGTGAAAAGGCTGTAATTTCTGCACCACTAGCAACACCAAATGAAATTGCAAATCTGTTTGAGTGATTCAGCTGAGCCTGACATGACATGGATCAAGCTACGGTGTGAATTTAGACCAGAACAACCTGTTTGACGCATGAAGTGTTTGAATCAGGATTAGAAACAGTAGGCTAATTGTTAGTGCAATTTTCCTTGGTGCAATGATGCTGAAAATTCAGCTTTGATCACAGGAATAAATTATAAATGACTGTTTTTACTGTATTTCTGATAAAAAAATAATAAATGCAGCCTTGGTGAGCAGAAGAGGCTATTTAAAAAAAACAAAAAAAAAACAACAACATTACAAATCTTACTGATCCCAAATTTTTGAATGGCAGTGTGTGTGTGTGTATATATATATATATATACACACACACACACACAGACAGACAGAAATGCATTAAACTAAAACAAATACAATTAAGTAGATTATGTTCAAGACTAGTGAAACATGACCTAATTGAGAATTTACATACCACATATCATTACTATTGATTACACACGGTTGTGTTCATATTTATGCAGAATTGTTGGTTTATCAGTTTAATTAACATCTAAAACAGCGATGATGGAAACACAAATCATCCCAATGAAGTCAAACTGATCTATTCAATTACAAACTCATCAAAAGCACATAATTACGTTTAATTATTATAGCAGCTAAATATGTGAACGCGATAATAATAAATCACAGTCCAGTCTGACAATACAACTGATCTCACTATGAGGCCAACGAGCTAACCGGCTAGCAGATACTCCTTATATATGTGGGAAACGGGCAAATAAAGTGCCTACTTTAGTGCTAGAGCAAAGTATTAAGTGGAAATTAAAAATAAAATGAGAAAATACCAACAGAAACACTTACGATTCATGGCGTCAAGGCACGGAGAACGTCTCTACGTAAGCGTGGTGACGTCGCCAGGAGCGTAAATACGCCCCGCCCACACAGACGCTGTTCTCGGTTCATGACTGAAAAAAACTGCTAGTAAAACAGCTGGTCAATGTGTTATATATACTAGGACGAGAATACTTAACCTTACTAAACAGCGCTGTGCTCACAGTGGTAGACTGTACTACATCTACTTACTGCAGTATGCAAATTGTCTGTATGCACAGAATTCCTGGAAGACTTGCTACGCAACAAGTGGCACAGAACCTTTTATTATAGTACACTGCATACTGTTTCACATAATTTTAAAAGAAATAGTAGGCAGTATACTGTACGTTTCTGAATTTAATTCAAGATTTGGCACTCCTAGACTAGGATTTCTTTTAATCTGTTGTCTTGGAACATCTGTAAACCTGTACGACAGGCAGAATCAATGGCGAATCTTTCTACAGAACTGTGAAAAGGCTGTAATTTCTGCACCACTAGCAACACCAAATGAAATTGCAAATCTGTTTGAGTGATTCAGCTGAGCCTGACATGACATGGATCAAGCTACGGTGTGAATTTAGACCAGAACAACCTGTTTGACGCATGAAGTGTTTGAATCAGGATTAGAAACAGTAGGCTAATTGTTAGTGCAATTTTCCTTGGTGCAGCTAATGACAGAAAGTATATGCTTTACTTACCATTAACCCCTTTAAAGCCTGACATATGAAATAACATAAATAAAACTGAACCCGATACCTTGGACAAAATGCAAAGAAGTCTGCCTATGTGTTTTATAGGCCTTTATGGTCATTAGGTTGAAGCTCATACAAAAGGAGGGGAAAAGAAGGAGAGAAAGGCTCAGAGTCTCAAACTGAGCAAAAATATGCAATTTGGTGCAGTTATTTATAAGGCTAAAAATAAGATGCCTGTAACTGATTTACATTTCAAGTAGCTTGCAGTGTAAATCAATGAGATCTTTATAACAACAGTATAGCAGACTACTTAAAATGAATATAAATATTCGTTTTCACTCTATATCTGCCAATAATGTCTTAGTAAGATATTTTAAAAGCTTATTTTTATGATCAAAGCTCTGTAGTTTCGAAACATGTAATGCGATGCAATACAATGATGATTGAGAGATGAACATATAAACGTTCCACAAAAGCCTGATGATCATATTTGATCATTTTAACCACATTTGTCTTAAAAAAAAAAAAGATGTATGGATAATCACCTAATTTGCTTCAGTCCAACAAGTATTCATCTTGAAATATTACTAACAATATAAAAGTTATTCTTCTGTTTACTTTATAAAAATCAATAAAGATTAAACAACAAAAAGACACGTGAACCACAAGCTGAAGGTGGACATTTTTACAATTATACTAAAAGGCCTTTTACTTGCTAAAAAAAAGCCTAAACAATCAATCAGACGACAGAAGGCATGTAGTAGATTGAGTGCAGCAGGTTTTTCTCATGTTGATAATTTAAAGGTCTCTACAGGGTAAAGTCATCATCATACAGAACACCGAAATGGTTCATACATGTCATTAGACATTAATCAGGCCAAATAAGATGCAGCAAGACTTACCAACCTCGGTTCACTGGTCCAGCAGCCTCTGCTTATGAAAATGAAATGATTAACATAATAAACAAGTTAAAATCTCACCTGCTCAGGGACGTCCAACAGAGAGGCCCACACATTTCTCACCACTCAGTCTATACACATTTACTCAAGAATTCAGCTCTGAATAAATAGCACTCTAAAATATGATAAAAACTGACAGATTCTAAAACATTTCCTTGTATTAAAATATAATTCTTAGAAAAACGTGTCCATACATAAGTCTTACAGGTACTACTACAGTGTCAAATTTTTCTTGAGCGCAATAGGCAGCGTGAGAAAGTCTTCAAGCGAGGATGACCTCCGTCTTCGACCCCCGCAGCACGAGCTCAGCCTGTCTCTTAAGCTCGGTTACATCATCGTCTCGCCGCAGTGTTTGGGGTTTGTAGCGTTGACTGAAGTGGTGCAGGACCAGCGTTTGCGCACCGCAGGTGAGCCATGCTGGGAGTGCTGTGCCCATGTTCCACGGCCTTCTCCTGCTGTCCGTCCTCCAGCGTGGCCTCGTGCACCAGCACATCCGCCCCCTGACACGCCCTTTTAAACCCCTCCCACAGCGGCGCACTGCAGTCCCCGAACACAAACACCTTACGGCCCTTCAGCGGCGGCTCCAGCACCTCGCCGGCGGTCAATACACGTCCACTATCTAGTCACAGACTCTCCATTCTTCAGACACCCGTATAGAGGTCCCGGTTTAAAACCTGCACTGTAATTTTACGAAGCTATGAGAATACTTTTTGTACGCAAAGAAAACAAAAATAACAACTTTATTCAACAATTCGTCTCCTCCGGGTCACCCTGGTGCCATTTTGGAGAATATCCACTGAAAGTAAACAGCGTATGCTATTCTGTGTCAGCCACACCACACGGATACGTTGTTTTTGTTCAAATCAAAGCGTAAACAACGTGGAAAACGTATCCGCGTGACGCAGCTGACACAGAACAGCATACGCTGATCTTACAGTTCAATCAGTGTGGTTACATATCTGCTTAATTACTGATATTATATTTTTACTGTATAGCCAGATGTACTACATAGTTAGTTGGTTGGTTGGCTGGTGTTTTAACGCCATGCCAGCTTCATTGGCTATTTTCATTGTGAGTAACAACTGAAATAGTATAAAAGATCAATTTAAAAAAATCTATAAGGTTTTTAATGTTTAATTTAAATAAAAACTCTAAAATGGATTCAATCAGGGCTGACACTGTTAAATAACAGCAACAACAGTGGCAAAGCTGGATGCTATTTCCAATAGCTATATCCGTAAGTGGCTTGGTCTGCCGCAATGTTTTTCAGATTCAGCACTGTTTGGAAGAAATGCTCTTCAGCTTCCAATAAAGAGCATCTCACTTGGGTACAGACTGGAGAAGACCAGGCTTGTACTCGAGTTTAGACAATCAAGTGACTATTTTGTCCGAAACGCTGGTGCCAATGTAGGAAGTAGAAGGCAGAGGAATGTGTCGACAACGCCATTGCCAACCTGAAGCACCAAGAGGTGGTTGGAAAAACCCAGGAGGGAAGACAGGGTCTTGGCTTGGGTGAGCCATGTAAATTCTGGTCAAAGGCATCATCAAAGGAGCGAAAAAATCTAGTGGTCACAGAAGAGATGGGATTGGAAGAGGAAAGACTTCTTGTGAAAGCTGTTGGTCAAGGCCAACAAGGCCAGTGGACAAAGTGGGCTGACATCTTACCAAGGTCAGTCAGCTGGAGCGACCTTTGGAGAATTCCCCAAGCCAGGTTAAGTTTCATTATTAGATCAACTTATGACACTTCCCAGCCCAGTTAACCTGGCACGGTGGTTTGGGGCTGAAGAAATCTGCAGCTTGTGCAATGCAGCTCAGGGAACCCTCCACCATATTTTGTGCAGGTGTAAAATTGCTTTGGCTCAGGGTCGCTACAGGTGGCGTCACGACCAGGTGCTATGGAAGCTGGCAGAATACACAGAAAGAGCAAGGATGATGGCAACCAGGAGGCATCAGAGCCTTAAGAGTCAGCCCGTCCAATTTGAAACAGCAGGTCAGGTAGTGCAGAAATGCCTTTCTAAGCACAGGACTTCAATCCTGGCTAGTGGAAGTGACTGGTTATTACGAGTAAACCTGGACAGGCGGCTGCAATTCCCCGCTTCTATTGCGCAAACCAAATTGAGACCGGACATTGTGGCATGGTCCGCGATGAGCAAACAGGTGATGCTAGCGGAGCCGACAGTGCCTTGGGAGGATGCAGATCACGAGGCATACGAGCGAAAAAAAGTCACGGTATGCAGACCTGGTAGCAGAATGCCAGGGAAAGGGATGGAGAGCAACGACTTACCCAGTGGAGATAGGCTGCCGTAGGGTTGCAAAAAGGTTAGAATGTTTTGGAAATTTAAAAAGGTTAGACATTTCCAGTAAATTTCGGAAACATTCCAGGGATTTTTGGAAAGTTTCCCGAAATTTACCGGGAATTGCTGCTCGCGGTCAGCGCAGGACTGAGACGCCCCTCCGCGGGACACTGCTCATCCGACGGCTCCAGCTCGTGCACGGCATACGGGAAGAGCAGCTGCGAGCTGGACAGCTCTAACGCCACACGCAGGAAGTGTCTTAACCCCCGCGGGCCGTAGATGTCCACGCAGGGTGGAGGCTGATCCGGCTGGGGGTTTCAGTTCAGACTGATGGTGCACAGCAAACCAGGAAGACCAAAGAGATGATCACCATGGAGGTGAGATATGAACACTTTGGTGATTTTGCCTGAACAGGGAACATGGGAAAGTTGAAAATATAAGACTACATGTGTGTGTGCATATATATATATATATATATATACACATACATACATACACACATACATAGCACTGTTTTTTGAAAGAAATTAAAACTTTTATTCAGCAAGAATTATTTATTCAGTTTAAATTTTCTATTCACAAAAATATTAACATATGAACAGCAACTGTTTCCAACATTGATAACAATCAGAAATCGTTCTTGGGCAGCAAATCAGCATATGAGAATGATTTCTGAAGGATCATGTGACACTCAAGACTGGAGTAATGATGCTGAAAATTCAGCTTTGATCACAGCAATAAATTACATATTAATATATATTAAAACAGAAAACAATTATTTTAAATGGCAATAATATTTCACAATATTACTTATATAAGCATAGCACTTTTCATGTCAATTAAACACATTCTGGGCCCAAATTGTCACGTATTATAGAGGGCTTTTTTTCTCTCAAATGTGATTTTCAATATAGCCTACAGTGATTTATAATGCAGTATTTTCATTACATCAGCATTCATTTTAAATTAAATAAGTAAAGAGGTAATACAATAACTTCATATCAGCATGCATACATATAAAAATCTGTTAAAAACATTGTTGTTTCGTATAAGCATAATTTCAAATTGGTTAAAAAAAACATTTAATACAATATTTTTAGAGCAGCTAAAGAAATCAGTACAAATATTATAATTGTTTTTTTAAATAAACTAAATAAAAGGTAGTACAACAAATACTACCAATAAATCTTAAACAATAGATTTTTATAGCAGTAGCGATTTTTTCCCCCCTTTGCAGTAATTAAGACATTAGTGAAGGATGTGATTATTGTCATGAAAGTAATAATTAAAACACACACACTGATGGCCCTAAAGGGGCCTAAAGTATTTCTCATAAGCAAAAATAATGTCTCATTTGTTTCCGATGATTTTGAAATACAGAACTGATATTTTTAACAGATTCATGAGATTCACCCAAAAGAGGACGAGCATGCAACATGTAAATACAACACGAAACACCTGCTGACAACTCAAGATGCATTCAAAAGAACTCAAACTGAACTAGCACGAGCTCAGACATTCAGCAGTCCTGCATCAGTGACAGTGACTCACTCGCTTTAAGTGAACTCCTCATGAACTGAGTCTGTGTTCCCTCTCCCTCTACTGATTTTGGGAAGTCGTGGCCTAATGGTTAGAGAGTCATACTCGTAACCCAAAGGTTGTGAGTTCGAGTCTCGTACCGGCAGGGATTGTAGGTGGGAGGAGTGAATGTACAGCGCTCTCTCCCACCTTCAATCACGACTGAGGTGCCCTTGAGCAAGGCACCGAACCCCCGGGCGCCGCAGCAAAAAAAATGGCTGCCCACTGCTCCGGGTGTGTGTTCACGGTGTGTGTGTTCACTGCTGTGTGTGTGCACTTTGGATGGGATAAATGCAGAGCACTAATTCCTGGTATATGGGTCACCATACTTGGCCACATGTCACTTCACAGTCAAACAGCCAACTTTCCCCATCGGCCGCGACTATATGCTGAGCCGGTCCCGAGGAACGTGATGTCCATGGACATCGTGCTGTTTTGCGTGCATATGACGACTAACAACTTCAACGTCTGACGACGACTAATAACTCTGTTAGAATAAACCGGCACCGTCTCACGCGTTCGATCAACATCCAGGGCACGAGTATGACGCGGACGTATGATTTAAAAAATAAAATAATTTCAATTATTTTTTATTTTTTTGGTAGAATTTTCTTAATCTTTGGCGGTTCAAATAAATAAGATGTTAAAAATGTGACTGATATTATGTCTGGTCCTTGTCAAGTACATTAAGGTTTATTTTCCGGGACACTAGAGGTCAGCATAACATCACACACCAATCTAATAATATGTTACAGCTTAATCAGAGCACAATTTCCAAGGCAACGTTTGCATGATATTAGTATTTATTTAAAAATAAATCAGTAAAAATTGTATATCAGCATAAATTTAAAAATGAGTAAAAGTATATTTTAGTGTATACTATTTTAGTATTTTACTATATTAACATTCTATTTTTTCATACAAATACATTTTAACCTGTAAAAATATTATAAAACCGATATTATAAAACAATAATTAAAATAAAAAATATTACTATATTATTGCTGTTTTTTTAATTTGCTGACAAAAATTACCTTGTATTTATTTTTTACAGATTAAAATGAATCTTTATGAAAAAAAAAATATTAGTATTTTTTTACATGCATCTCTTATTTTTAATTGCATATAATTCAACGTTAGCATATTAGCATTTAAAAGTAAATTAGTTAAATATAAATATATATATATATTTTAAATCAACATAAATTTAAAACTCAGTAAAATAATATCTTAGTATATGCTATTTTAGCATTTTACTAAGTATATTTTTAACATAAATTGTATATAAATTAATATATAAATAAGTAAAATAAAAATATATAAAAATACGTATTATATATTTTACTGGTTTTTAATATTTGCTTGTAAAAAAAAAAGCATATTACCTTATTTTGACAGATTAAATTTAATATAAAAAATATACTAATAGTAAAAATTTTTTTACAGAATCCCCAAAGCATCTCTTATTTTTATTAATGCATAATTCCCAGATGGTGTGTTCTAGTTTACTTCAATTAGCTGGCATTTTTAACTATAACATATTTAAAATAATACTTAACCTCCTGAGACCCAGAAAAAAAAAAAGTTTTGTGAATTTAGTAGTTTTTCATGTCATTACATTGTTTAGAGCATAAGAAAAAAAAATCACAATATTGAAAAATTATATTTTATTCATATGCTATGCAATGTCCTATGTGAAGGAAACCAGGACTCAATAAAAAAAATAAAAAAAAGACATGAATGAACATGAATAGGCAAAAACAATAAATCATCAATACATTTTTAGGTTTCAGGATTTTTTTTATTCCAAACTTTGTATAAAGATGATTCTCAACTATGCTATGAAATATATAACATGATAATTTGATATACCATTTTGATTTATGCATGTGTAAAATAGCCGTAAGAGGATTTCCCCATAATATACAATGCATCTATATACTGTATCTAATTTGCATATTAATGTGTTCTTGGGGCAACATGAAATGAAAAAAGAAGTGTAATAATTGGCAAGATTTTCATAATATCTAATATTTCATAGGAATATTGAAATTTAATTTCCCTATTCATTTGTTGTGTCTCCCAAAATGCTGTTACGTAACAAAGTTATATTTTGATTTGAAACCCCATAACATTTTCCTGAGATGTTGATTTATGACAGTTCAAAAATAAGTCAGATTTAAATGATAATTACCAAATATTATCATATTTCCATAAGAGTGTTAAATTTGATCACTAAATTAATATCAGCCATATTTAAAGATCAAGAAGAGGGAGTGTTCATGGTGAAACCTCCAAACATTTGGTATCTCTGAGAAGCACTGAATGTGCTCTGTACAGGACATCCAGACTTCAAACTGTGACATGTAACGTCTCAGAGAAACTCACTACAATATAATGTCCTCTACTGATCACAAAAGTCTCAGGAGGTTAAATTACTTCAAAATGAGGGCAGCAAACTGACTAGCAGTGATTCGAGCACAAATGTTCTGAGCAGCTTCTAGTGTTCAGACACTAAAGCAGCATCACATAGCAAAATAATCTCTACCCACAATGCACCTGCTCATCAACTCTCGATGCAAGGAAGGACTGCATACAGAAACATTAATGGCATCAGTACAGGTGTACAACATTGATCACACCAACTGAAGTGTCAAAGGACTGACTTAAACGAAACATCTCAGTGTCCGGAATATACGAGTGTTCACTAGTTATTTTGTACGATAAGCTGTCAAAAGAAATATAAAACCGGTTTTCAAACTTCTGTGAATGATGTTGTAATGTGTTGTTCTCGTGATCTTTGACTACTGCATTAACAAAGCAAATAAAATATCAAACATACGATGTGCGACGACTATATAAAGATACAGAAGCAGGCACTTTGGCACATTTGTTTTTCTGATGGTCAACAGGTGCAATCTGCATTGAGATTTTAATATAATATAATTTACTGCTGTTGCATGAAACCTACACAGCTGTGATGGTATCAGATCTCCACATTCTTCTCTTTTTCACACAATCTGAATGCAAATCAACATTTCATGTCCATATATTGATTTATTTGGGAAGTAGCTGTGCAATAAGTTGGATAACATACACTCAGCCGGTCATTTTTCAAAATAAGCCCCTTTAAGGAGAAACAAGATGACCACGTTAAGGTTTATTTTGTTACAATGACAATTTTTTTGTTTATAACTATATAAAAAGCATGTTCATATCCTAAGCATGTAAATATTTGCTGGTAAATGCCCTAAAAACTCACAGTCACAGCTACAAATATACGCCATAATGCAATGACTGTAATATTGTGCAATATACTATATAATATATAACTCTGCTAGTCCTTCACGTCCTGTACTTCCTCCTCCTCTAGGAAATAAATGGATCTTTATGAACTGAACGGCTGTTAGACACAACAAGAAACAAACACAAACATGAACAAATGGAGTGTGATTTCATTTTAGAAAAGGCTTCATTGCACACAGCATATAAAAACAACAGAGAGGAGGCACGCTATTGAACTCTACACTGGAGAAAAAACTGTAAGGGTGCGAGAAAAAAAAAAATATATATATATATATATTTTTATATTTTTTTTTGCATAAAGAAAATGAAGCTTAATTAGATAACTGGCATTGTGAAATTATTTTCATGAAAATTAGGCACATTTACTAGCAAATTGTCATTGGCATAATGGACCTGGACATTTTACTTTTGAGTTTTGCTTTTAATTCTTTTTAGTCTTAATGGATTCTTATTAGATTCTCATTTCTGTGATGTTGTGAAGAAGTGAAAAAGTGTTATACAAATGACAGGAAACATCTAAATACTACGATGCATAAATACTTTAAAATGTAAATAAAATATTTCACAGTGCATTTTGGGTAAAAATGTGCTTAATTGTGATGAAAATGATTAAAATAGGCTTAATTTTCTAAATGCAAAATATTATTTAGTATTTATTTATTTTGATTCTGTAGTGAAATGTTTCCTGGACATGTACAAGATAAAGATGTTGTAAAATTCATCCATAAACTGAAATTGCAATTTAAACAAAGGGTCAGAAATATGAATAAATACTATAAGTAGCAAAAAAAGGAGTGGCTAAAACAGAAGAATGAAAACTCCCTTCAGACTTCCTGGTTTTTGTTCTGTTTCTCTCTGTGTGGTGTTTTCTCACGTGTTCGTCGTCTAGTCTACCATAGGGCTGTGAGAAACCCCGGGCCAGTCGTATATCTCGGGCAGAAACGAATCGTAGTTGATGTTCCACACAACTGATCTGACGTACGCTTCCTTATCCACAGGCTCTGGGTATCGAAACGCCATTCCCTTTGAATACACGTACTGCACCACCTGCGCACAAAACATACAGCGTCTTAGTAAGGGGTTCTGACAGAAAACAAGTGGCATTTGTGTCCCTTATCAGGATTCATGTGAGTTTTATGAAGGTAAATCGAAGACTTTTTAAAGACCAATTAAAGAATTTTCAAAGCTTGAAAAATACAACTTCAAACCAATTTCCATTTATTTTCAGAAAAAAAAAAAAAAAACAATTCCAGGATTTATTTTGTGAAAGGGCGATCAAGACCCTTTTAAGACCTTTATAAACTCTGCTTATATACATGGTGCACGATATTGGGGAAAAAAATAACACTGCAATATTTTGTTTTTTGCTGTATATATTGAAAAACAGGGATTTATGTAAGCCCGTTTCCGCCACTGAATAAAAAATAAAAATAAAAATAAAAGTTATTACGACTTTTTATCTCACAATTCTGACTTTATAACTCGCAATTGTGAGTTTATATCACGCAGTTCGGTCTTTATTTCTCAGAATTGCGAGTTTATATCTCACAATTATGAGAAAAAAAGTCATAATTGTGAGATAAAAAGTCATAATTGTGAGATAAAAAGTCGCAATTACCTTTTTTATTTTTTATCCAGTGGCAGAAACGGGCTTCCATAGGGATTTTCACCAGATGCCTTGAATAATGAAAAAAAAAAAAAAAAAACCATTTAGAGTTACTTGGGTTGTTTAGTTGAGTGCATCTGCATAGAAAATAAAAATAATTTTAAAAAGCCTGACAAAAGTCATTTTTGTGAAATTCTTTTAGGGCTGAATGATTTTGGGAAAAACTTGAAAAATGTGAGCGTTCATACTTTAGTTTTCTTTGAACATTTCAGCAGCAATTTCAAAGTTGTCACATTTCCACTGTTTTATACCAATTCAATATGGCTATAAAATAATAATAATTATCATGGTTTTATTGTGATTATGAAATAAAAAATATTAAATGTGAAATGTTGTAGTAAAACTGCTAAATGTTGTAAAAATAGTTATAAATGTTTTATTTTTTACTGTAAAATTATAATTCTAATATTTACATCTTAATTTCTTTATTTTCAAACTGTAAGCCATCAAGGTTTTATTTTGACGGGTTGCCAACAAACAAAAATATGTTCTGCTGATTTCAGAGCGAAGCTCAGAATTGTATGTTCTTTATGCTGCCTTCATGTGCCATCAGAAATTTCCTTTCTGAAGATGTAATTACAAGTTTGTTGCAATCAAGTGCTTTGCTGTCAAAAAAAAAAAAAAAAGAGAGAAATCATGGCGTACAGCCCATTCATGAGTTGATTCTTGCCTATTTCTTGGGGAAATCTTTTTTTAAAGCCAAATTGTATAGAAGATATTTAGTCAATATCCAAAAGATTTTGAATAAAATGTAGCATCCTATTCATCGGTAACCATAAGCATTCACCGCACTATCTAGATATTTAGCTTGCTGATGATTCAGAAAAATTTGGTCAAATAACTACTACTTTGAAAGTGAAGTGACATGTGGCCAAGTATGGTGACCCATACTCGGAATTAGTGCTCTGCATTTACCCATCCAAAGTGCACACACACAGCAGTGAACACACACACACCGTGAACACACACCCGGAGCAGTGGGCAGCCATTTATGCTGCGGCGCCCGGGGAGCAGTTGGGGGTTCGGTGCCTTGCACAAGGGCACCTCAGTCGTGGTATTGAAGGTGGGAGAGAGCGCTGTACATTCACTCCCCCCACCTACAATCCCTGCCGGTACGAGACTCGAACCCGCAACCTTTGGGTTATGAGTCCGACTCTCTAACCATTAGGCCACGACTTCCCCTGTGTACAATACAAACAAAATGCATCAAATGGTTATTTATATACATAAATATACATGACTAATGACAAGAGAAAGCAATGTAGATGTTGTGGGAAAAGCAAATAAAACAAAACAGTATTACAGCTATGTTTCTCTCCTTATACGTTTAAAGTTTATGGCCTGAGTTTCCCAGTTGCAAATACGACTTGAGTAGCCGCTCATGTCCGATTTGAATCAAGTCATTCTCAGATTGTGGACTACATGTGTGCAAATGCTGTGCTTCACTCTGAACCAAGTAAAGCACATCTTTATTTAATTCAATCGCAGTCTGTGACATACTGTGTCCTAAAACACACACAGTCTGACCTTGATGGCCATCTGCAGTGACACCTCTCTGATGTTGGACAGGGGTGGATACAGTCGGCCCTGACTCAGCTCTTCATCTGTCAGCTGATCCGCCAGCGTCTACAAAACAATGTTTGATCAAGTTACAATATCAAATATTAACAAAAACAGGTAGTACAACTTCTGCTTTTTACACACAGGCCATGTAGGGCTAATAACTTATGAAAAATAACTCTAGAGATGAGCATTTTGCTAAATATATGCACTCCATTACAAATTCATAATTTTGTTTGCTTAAAATGATGATTTATTCAAACATACATTAAATAATGAAAATAAGTTATTATGACAGCCACCATGTAAAGGTTTATATCAACAATGAATTGAAGAAAAATCATTAAAAATTGTATTAAAGATAAAAAAAACCAATTATGAGCAATTTAAATGTTTCTATACAACTTATTTGTATAAAAAACGAACACAACATTTTTACTTGAGAGTTGATTAAATTCATTTGATAAATTGATTGAATATTTAATCAAATTTATTTTCAGTTTTCAGCTAAACAAAATTTTTTTGATTTAAATTTTGATAAAACAACTGTTTTGGTAAAACATTCATTTCAGTCCATCAATAAAAATTAATAATACAATTGATAAATCAGCTACAAAAAATCCTGAAAACTAACATCTTTTGTGGTGAGATGAGACGATATTCAATACTGTACAATAAAATTAACCATACTATAATGATGAACTATAACATAATTTACCCCTTTTGAATAATGCATATTAAAAAAAAGCATAATCTGGTCTTAAGTGTGGTTCAGGATTGTGTATTTACCTTTGCAGCCTCAAGGAAGACCGTATCACTGATGTGTCGCACTCCACTGAGTATAACAGCCAGAGCTACACCTGAAATAACAATCACAACCTACAGCTCAACACTCAGACCGGTTTTAGACCATTTGTGACCCTTGACCACAAAACCAGTCTTAAGTCGCTGGGGTATATTTGTAGCAATAGCCAAAAATACATTGTATGGGTCAAAATTATAGATTTTTCTTTCATGCCAAAAACCATTAGGATATTAAGTAAAGATCATGTTCCATGAAAATGTTCTACCATAAATATTTTTGATTAGTAATATGCATTGCTAAGGACTTTATTTGGATAACTTTAAAGACAATTTTCTCAATATTTAGATTTTTTTGCACCCTCAGATTCCAGATTTTCAAATAATTTTATCTCGGCCAAATATTGTCCTATCCTAACAAACCATACATCAATGGAAAGCTTATTTATTCAGCTTTCAGATGATGTATAAATCTCAATTTCGAAAAATTGACCCTTAAGACTGGTTTTGTGGTCCAGGGACACATTTGTTCTTAAGCATCTTTACATGCTTGTTAGATATTAGCAACTTTAAAATGTGGATGTGTTTAGAGCTAACCATTAAAACAGTCATCACTATTTGACTGTAATTAGTGCATGTGAATACCTGGGAATATATAAGCATTGTTGCCCTGTCCAGGGGTCAGTATTCTGCCATCTTCTAGTGACACCGGGGCAAACGGACTGCCACTGGCAAACAAACACCTTCCCTGAAACAGAAACGTCTTCACTTATATTCACATACTCCTATTCTTACGGGTATGACAATCCATATATACAACAGATCGGTGGATGACTACAGGTGTAATGTATGTTTTCTGTGTACATCTGAGAGTATTAATGCTGTTATTACTGTAACACTGTAGCGATTAAAGCAAAAGCCACACTGGGACTTTCTCACGCTGAATTTACAAAAATTAAGTTTTGGTTCATCCGATCAGATTTTAGAGCTATTTGATATGCAAATTTCTTAAGCCTCTGAATTAAAAAAACAAACAAACACTGTTGTACACAATCTACTACATACCTTCTGTCTTTTTGCTGTGAAATCTTACTGATTTTTATAAAGTAAACATAAGAATAACTTTTGTATTGTTAGTAATATTTCATGATAAACATTGGACCAAAACAACTTATGTTTACTCGATTATGTATATTCTATACAGTACACTTTTTTTTTTTTTTTTAGAAAAAAAATCACGTTCAAATGTGATTATCAAATATGATCATCAGGCTTTTGAGGAACATTGATTTGTTTATCTCTCAATCATCATTGAATTGCATTGCATCCTATGTTTTTGAAAGAGCTTTGATCAAAACTAAGCATTTAAATATCATCTTGCCAAGACATTATTGGGAGATATAGAGTGGCAACTGATATTTATATGCATTTTATTTAAATGTCTGCTACACTATTTTAAAGATTTACATTACAAGCTATAAGGATTTCATCCTACTTTTACTAAATAAATATCAGCAACTGCAGCAAATTGTATATTTTTGCTGATTTATGGGCCTCTGAATAAAACTGAGGTGTTTTTTCTTCCATATTCTCATTATAACATACTATATGAGTCATAAAAGCCTGGTGTATCAAATATGACTTGCAACAAAAAAAAACACATGCAAATTTTTGTTTTTCTGGCTATTATTTTAATCTGGCTTTACAGGGTTAATGCATGAACGATATTTAACCTGTGTGAGGCTGTAGGCGTCTTCAGCTGTACACTCTGCCTTGGCAGTCGGGTTGCTGAGGGCGAAGATAATCGGATGCTCGTTCAAGCTGCCCATTGCTCTGATGACATCATGAGTGAAGAGCCGGCCGGCACCTGACACACCTGATGACATTGAGAAAGAGGTCAAAACATGCATACGCACATATTAATACAGAATTTAGGGGTTATATATGATTCTTTCAGCTATATGCATAAACTATATGCAACAGTAAAACAATGACAACCTATGTTTACTTGCATACACAATTCTTAAAGGTACAGCAACAAAAGGAGCTTGTTTAATTCAAATGGTCATGAAAAACGAAATGACAACTGTTTTAGTGCAATCCTTGACTAACACAGAGGGAGCAGCTCGTCTTACCAATGATGGCGGTGGGCTTAATAACATTGACAGCGTCTAAGAAGCTTTTCACGTCCCCGGGATCAGGGTGAACAAAACCCTCCTGATTACTATCTGTCTCATAAGCTCTGCCCTGGAAAACAGAGAAACACACAGTGGATTACTGGACTGCAGTTGTGAGTCTCAAAGCACGTGAAAGAAGAACAAGTTGGTAAATGACACAGATTTTCAATTCCTGTTTAGAGTTTTTAGAGGAAACTTGGCATGTGAACTCAGATAGTCAGTCAGCTAAGCTTAGTAAAATACTGTGATTGCATTTCGAAGACAACAAACAACCTCAGTGGGAGTACTCATTTTTATTTCAGTTTTATTTATATATTATTATATCTTTTATATTTTCAGTTTTAAATTTTAATTTTAGTTAATTTTTTGTAATTTTGCACTTTTCTTTCTTTCTTTCTTTCTTTCTGTTTAGGTTTAATTCATTTTTATTTCAGTTTTAGTTTTCACGGTGTGTGTGTGTGTGTTCACTGCTGTGTGTGTGCACTTTGGATGGGTTAAATGCAGAGCACTAGTGAACAAAACCCTCCTGATTACTATCTGTCTCATAAGCTCTGCCCTGGAAAACAGAGAAACACACAGTGGATTACTGGACTGCAGTTGTGAGTCTCAAAGCACGTGAAAGAAGAACAAGTTGGTAAATGACACAGATTTTCAATTCCTGTTTAGAGTTTTTAGAGGAAACTTGGCATGTGAACTCAGATAGTCAGTCAGCTAAGCTTAGTAAAATACTGTGATTGCATTTCGAAGACAACAAACAACCTCAGTGGGAGTACTCATTTTTATTTCAGTTTTATTTATATATTATTATATCTTTTATATTTTCAGTTTTAAATTTTTATTTTAGTTAATTTTTTGTAATTTTGCACTTTTCTTTCTTTCTTTCTTTCTTTCTTTCTGTTTAGGTTTAATTCATTTTTATTTCAGTTTTAGTTTTCACGGTGTGTGTGTGTGTGTTCACTGCTGTGTGTGTGCACTTTGGATGGGTTAAATGCAGAGCACTAATTCCAAGTATGGGTCACCAGTTCCAAGATTCAGTCTCTCTAACCCCCTCCTTTTCGTGAGCCTACTCTGCTCTGATTGGTCAGATGGCCCAGTCTGTTGTGATTGGTCTACCGCATACAGCACGTGTTGGAAACAATATGCCCATTGCCATAATTCCGTATTTTGAACACTCAATAGAAAATATAAACATCTATTATTTATCATAATTACAGGTTGTGATTACTAGAGCCAGCTGGTCCAAATAAACTGAGAACTGATTCATCTTTCAAGAGCAAGCGTTTTATGAATCCTGTGTTGAACTCCCTGAGATTAGAGAAGCAGTCGTCAGTAAAATGACGTGTTTGAGGGTGGGGTCAAGTTGTTCGTAGCCGGCCAATATAGAACATAGGCGGGAATTATGCAACTGTGTTACCCAGTGACGTGCAGCCATCACGGAAGTGGGATTCAAATTACTAACGACTTGTTTAGGCTGTTCAGAGTCGATTCTTTATTTTGGGAGACAATAACTTTATTTATCGTGCACTTTCAGCTTTACAACTTTGCAGATCATTTACATTCACATACAGCTACAGTACACATACCTGCAAACTCACAAGAGGTCAAAAAGGTGACAGTTTGGAATATGACTCTTGTAGGGGGGTCTTTAAAAAGGACGAAAAGCATGTTATTCAAGTATTTTGTTAAACATCAGAAAGTGTGATAATATAAATACAGTGGTGTGAAAAAGTGTTGGCCCCCTCTGTTAGTTTATAGGCCAAAGGGGTTTGATCAGGGATGTTGGATCATAAGTAAGACTCTATGTTTAATGGGAATAAGGGATGATTTATGAAATACCTGTACTGTAATTATAGTTAACGATGACACATTCCCAAATTGAGTTTGTAGTAAATAGAACTGATGAGCACGAGTAGAGCAGCTGATGATATACTGAACGCGCGTGCAGCGTGCCGGTTAGAGCGGTTCTCCTTCTCGAGTCAAGAATCAGTTGCATCGGTTTTTGGATCACCAGTACACTGAACCGAGAACCGTTTCTTTCGGCCGCGTCCGATTTGAGAACCGAAGAGCGGACACATCCGATTTGAGAACCGATGAGCTGATAATTCTGCGCATGCGTGATTCAGCATGAAACTACCGAACAGTACATGATTTCCTACTATGACTGACACAGCACGTCTGAGTCTGAGCACGTCAGTCTTTTGGACAACTGATTCTGTGCTAATGTTATGAGCGCGTGTAAACTGAAGACTTGAATGAAGGGCAATCTGGCGAAACGTAAGTTTATTTAATAACAAATAAATCGCAATGGATTATGTATAGTAAGTGGATTATGGTTTCTGCGCTGATGACAACTAATTTATTTACTTTATATCTTCAAGACTTAAATCCTCGTATGCGCATCACTGCCTGTTACTGTATTTGGGTGCTTAGCTGCAAAACTTAATTGTAAACTTTTCAGATCATGATTATGATGTTTTAACTGACTGAAGTTATGATTACTGACTTTATATATTTGAATGTGTATTTTCATCCCGGCCTGGGACGATAGACTTGATATCATTACGTCATCGCAAATGATGTCATTATGTTTGGGCGTAAAAGAACCGACGAACCGGTTTTTTTGAACCGGTTCATTGAAACGAACTGTCCGAAAGAACCGGTTCGCGGGAAAAGAACCGGACTTACCATGACTAATTTGAAGCAGCAGCGCGCAGGCCGATCGGCCATCAAGGTACCGTGAGAGCGATTCAAAAGCATGCAGAGCCATCTGCTCTCTGTAGCTCTCGTGGTGCTCTGATGTCATACAGCGATCGGTCTGCGCATTGCTGCTTCAAGTCGAACCGAGAAAGGGACTTTGGTCGAACACACTCCTGTCTATGAGCTTGCAATCTCTCTCTCTCTCTCTCCGACCTGACCCAAACCCCCCTCACTGATTGCACGATTCGATTCGATTACAATTATCATATCAACGATTTGACTCAATTCGATATCACGATGCGTTGCACCCTCAATTTTCAATATTTCTGCACATGGTTACATTTTCATATAAATTTTATATCAAATTTATTTTGTGCATTTATATTAAATTATATAAGCAAGCTGCTTTTTAAAATAATTACAAATGAATAATAAATCAAAACAATTGTTAAGAATTTAACCAACTAAATACAGCTTCAAAACATACAAGCAAATATGAAGTAATAAAAGGGGAAAAAGACAATCACAAGTGATAAACAAAAAGTACTTTCAGTATCTGAGAATGTATCCGGAAGTTTACAGACCATCATAGTTATGGGTTTTTCTTTTTTCCTCAGCATTATTGCTGTTTGATTATTACTGGTGAGATCATCGACAGTGGCTGTTTTTTTTTTTTTTCAGATGTTTTGTCCTTTTCTGAAAACATAACTCGCGGTCTTTACATCAATTTCGTATCATAAAGGATTCGGAGATGCAAGTGCATTTAACCGCAACTGCATACCAAAAAAGTGATACTGCTTTTCCACATGATAAGACTTATGTTGGTTTCTGCAAACAAATGATGACAGCCAAGTTTGTGTTTCTTGCAAAGACTTTAACTTAGTTTCATATTTTGCCTTATAATGCAAAGACTTTCAGATATTTTTAACTGTGACTTAAAGGTAAAAAAAAAAAAGGCACACTCATACTCTTATGCAACCATGCTCGCTCACCTTTACTAACAGACCATATTTGTCAAACATCCAGATTTTCTTTCTGGCTTCTGCTTGGGACATTCCCGACTCCATCATGGCCATGACGATCAGGTTAGCGATTCCCAGAGCAGCCTAAAAAATACAAAATTCCATCTTAAATACACAGGTTATGTTAAGAGTCTAATCTCATATCAAACCACACAGATTAAAAGACTGGGTTTGCATTATAGTGTCTTTAAAACGTGTCACGTGAGCTCACCTCTCCAGCCCCCAGAAACAGAACTTTATGTTCAGTTATTGACTTCCCCACAACGCGTTGAGCTGCCAGTAAACCCGCCAGAGCTACTGATGCAGTGCCTGCGGACACACAAACACAACTACTGATGCACAGTAGACAAGCAAACATCCGAAAATAAATCAATCAAATATGCATTTCTTAAAGGAAATACCTGTGCTTGTAAGGCAAAGCAGGACCAATAACAATTCAGTATGAAAATATAACAAAGACATCATTAGTCTAAAAAAAAAAGCAAGTCTGATCATGCTTCCTCATGCTGAATCAAATGAACTGATTCACTAAAATGAATCAGACTTCTAAGTGCTATCAGTGTTATCATTAACAAAGTAAAAGTTATAAAAACATTTTGGATAATTTAAATAAAGTTGAAATAAAATATAAATATTAGATTAAAAACTTTTTACTTCATTTGAAAGTTTAAATTGAAGCACTAAAATTACTAACTGGACTAAAACTGAAATAAAAATAAATGAAACACTAAGTAAAAGCCATGGGACATAGTTATAAATTTTATAAATAAATACATTTTTACATTTAATCACAATAATCATATATATCAAGATCTTCTACGCATTGAGCTAATACATTTCTCTAATATTTTGAATGAATAACGCAGCAGCGGCGCACAAAAACGTCACTTATATTATCATCACTGCATCTCGTGCTCCACTGATGACGCTCCCTGATGCACACCCTGGATGTCATCATTGAAGGTGCAGTACTTCTCACGGTATTTCTTCAGAAATCGAAAGGCGTTGTGATTCCCGAAGTCCTCAAATTGGATGAGGGTGTCCTGTCCGTACTTATCCACCACAGCCTCCATGAACTCATCTATGAGATCGTCGTAGCGCTGGGATCGGTCACGCCGCTGATACAGACCCATGTAGAACGGGTCCCTCAGTAACTTCTGCAGAAACACACAAATACACATAAAACAGCTGCTTTCATAAACCATCTGTAAGCAAAAGTTATGCATGTTTGAACATTGAACAAAAACCCACTACAGCAGGATTCTGCACTTAAGAAAAGCATTCAAATCTCCATAGTGAAATTGACAGTGGAAAGTCTCACAATGATGGACATATAGTTAATATTCTTTTATATTTTATATATTTAATTTTATATACATTGTAAAATTTTATATATACAATAGTATATATGTCTGCGTCACTCATAGCACGTGCCTATATCGTGCACTACAGTATATCGAACGTTTTTAATATCGTTATCGAAGAAGGTGTACCGTCAATAAATATGAGTACCGTTTTATCGCCCATACATACATAAATACATACATACATACATGCATAATTATTGTTATTATTAAGTGTTAAATGTTAAATGAATATATACACATACACAGAGCTCTATAGTCAAGTCAAGTCAAGTTTATTTGTACAGCGCTTTTCACGATACAAATCATTGCAAAGCAACTTTACAGCAAATTAAGTTTCTACAATATTTAGTGGTAGCTTATCAGTGGTGACTGTCAGTTAATGTACATATGTCTATACAGTCTTGTCACTGATGAATGGTTTGGGAATGAATGGTTACCAACCTCGTTATCCGTGCCTACATCAATGCAGACCGGCAGGCAACTCTCAGGCCGAATTCCAGCACAGGCCGTATAAAGACACAGCTTTCCTACAGGAATACCCATCCCATACAATCCCAGATCACCCAGACCCAGGATACGCTCACCGTCTGTCACCACTACAGCCTGTAAACACACACAGATGAACAATCCCTCACTGTACTAACTCAAACTCTCTTAAGAAATCAAAGTAATATACGCATCACAGTCTAAAAGATGTCATTCGCCAGCATGAGGGTGAAATGACAAAACTTACTAATCAAAGAGTGTCATCAAACATGCACTTTAATAAAAATCGAAAAACACCGGAATGCTGGAATGCTGAAATCCAATACCTTGACACTGGTTTCTGGCCAATTATCCAATATGGAACGAATATGTCCTTGATCCTTAATGGAGATAAACAGACCTCTGTGGGAAAAAAAAAAAAAAGAGACAAAATCTTCAATCTCTTTGCCACACAAACACACAAACCAGTGTTTCAGAGTAAATCTCCCCTATAATGACAATGACAACAACGAAAAATAGTCCTAAATGTATACTAAAAACAATACTTTTCTGGTAAAACATTTAGATGTTTTTACTCTATTTTGAACGTGCATCTACTTTAAGCTACACAATGTTAAACCGGTAAACACCCTGACTGACTCAGTGTTGAAGGACTCAAATAGAAGTATTCGTTAAACTGATTCAAAACGATCATTCATGAGTTTGAGAGTCGCATTGAATGATTCATTACAAGAACTGGCTCATAAGATTTATTTGTTCATTAATCAGACTGGTCACACCATATTTGTTTTTGCATGCAGCCAGGGAAGACAAGTAATTTTTCTATTCAAATCTAGAAAATACTATTTTTATTCTTCAATTTCTTTTGCAGTGATGCTGTAAATCCTGAGCAAGCTGCTCTCAGTATCACCATCATATTTATTTGAGCACCTGGTGAGCAGCATTTCTAAATTGCAACATTTTTGCCATCTTGCACATCTAAAAATGACTTCAACACAAGCTGAGAATAAGAGCAGGCTGGGCATACAATCAGAGCTGTGATCTACACAGAAAAGGTTCAATGTATCAAAGCTAAATGGGTAATAATTAATGAAGTGTAGCTTACTTGGGTCGCCTGAAGATATGTCCATACTGAGTACATGCGAGACCAACAGTAGGTGTGTAGACGATGGGCATGAGAGCCTCGATGTCTTCCATAAGCACGCGGTAGAAGAGACGCTCGTTTCTTTCCTGAATCCCCATTAGATAGATGTACCTGTTCAAATTAACCCATACATGACTCTGCATTCAAAAAATATTTCACTTTTGTAATTGGACATTTTCAAACAGAAACAGAATACGGAGTGTGAAATAATGTTGGTTGCACTATTTAGCTACATAACTTTATCTATCAGGATCATGAAAAAAAGCAGGTTATGATATTACTGGCTAAGATTTTTTGAGCCACACAACCTTTATTGCAAAATTTCTCATATTTTTGCATAATATACACAGCAAACTTCAGTTTTTATATGGACATTTTAAATTCAATTTCAAATCAAATTGTAGAACAGCTCTTATTATCTGAAAAGGGTAGCGAGGTGAATGAATGTACTTCTGCAGTGGGTCGGACATCTTCTTCAGGTTCTTCTGGAAGCGCATGGCCTGGGTGTCCTGAGTCTCGATCTTTGGAGGCAACAGACCATGAATGCCCAAAATCTGCCGTTCCTTCAGAGTGAAGGCCATTCCCTGCGCATGCACAAATACACAATGAATGTTCACACTACATTTTTACTGCAGTAAAATAGAGAATTGCAAGTTGGGAGTGTTTGTCAAAGTCAAAAGAGTCTCTAAGGCTTTCTTGAAAATGCTGAATGCCTAACAATGGTCAAATGAAAAAAAGTGGCATTAAATATTGTTTTTACAACCAATGATCAAGAACAATTATTTTTATGAACAAAAAATAAATAAAATTAAAATAAAATAATAATAATAGATCCAATCCAAATGTTTTATATTTTAAATAAAAATCATTTTATCTTTTTAAAATATTTATTATTATTATTATTATTATTATTATGTAGTGTTACTTATTTATGTGTAGTGTTAAGTAAAATATGTATATTTTATCATCATTTATAATGATAATTAAAGTTTTATTTTACACAACAATAGTAAAATTTCACTACTGATATTCGTCTTAAATTCTTCCTTTGTTTTATATTTTAAATAAAAATCATTTTATCTTTTTAAAATATTTATTATTATTATTATTATTATTATTATGTAGTGTTACTTATTTAATGTACAGAATAAGTTACTTATTTAACTTATTCTATATCCATTTGTGGTTTGAAATTATTTTTTATTATTTAATAATAATATTTAAAGGAATATTTTTGTTATTAGGAATGTGTCAGATTCAAGTAGACATTAAGAACTACACTGTCTACAAACGGATAAAATTTAATCACTTGCTTGGTGCAACACCAAAGTTTCTTTAGGGTCACAGGTTTGTTCAAATCCCCAACCATAAGTATGAGCAATGCTAGTGATGCTTGCCTTAGCAAACGACACAAATTACAGACAAAGCCAGACACACAAAGACAACTGCAGATGGTCTAATCTAATGCATTGTCTGTGCAGAGTGTCATGACATATGGAGGGCAGAGAACACAATGAGTCATACAGAGACCCTGAAACACTGGCTATATGTGTGTTTGATGGTGGGCTGCCTGGAGCCCTGCTCTGCTGTATATTAAAACCATGCATGAATCTTTGACCTGAGCTGCCACAAATGTAATGCATACATCCTGTGTGTGAGGAGGAAATGTCTGCGGGGAGGAGATCAAATCAGTACAGCCACCAATGAGGGTCAGCAAGAGGGAAACACCCATCTATAACATACAGGAACTGCATTCACTTTACATTCCATATGCCTGGAGAGTGTGTACATGTGTGTTTGAGCATATTTGAGGGCTGGGAACAGTCTTTAACAGGGCTGGTGGGCTACAGGTCTGTTAAAAGCAAATAATAAAAGGACTACAGACTACATTAAATACAATTGCAGCAAGGATAAACATAGTTTATCAACCACAATATGCTTTGTGAGGTGAATTAATGGCTGCTGAGACCATGAAACCATCTAGCATTTTAGTTTAGTTTTGTACAATAAACATTTTTGATTGTGTCTTGGGTCATCACTTGATCTCCAAAGTAAAATAAGAGGCCTGAAGCAAAACCAGTGGTCTACAGCATGGAAATGAAGCACACACCCATGTTTTTGAGGATACGTGGCACATCTGCTGAGTCACTCCTCCTAATGTTTTCCAGACAAAAGTATTTAGACCCTCAATACACACAGGGACTGACGGTGTTAGACAGTATGCATCAGTGCTGTGGAGTTCAAAAAACTAGCGGGGGTAAAAAAGGTAGTGGTGTAGCATGACAGAACACCGTTACACTGTATTGTGCACACAGTCTTACATTCACGCGAGTTGAGGCGATAATTAAACACACTCTGCTAAAATGTCCAGTTTAATTTGGTTTAGGTATACATTATATATTGAAATAAAATTGATATAGCGACATGGCTTAGTGCGATTATCAAATTACAAAGGCAGTGATTTAATTAAATAAATACATGCACTGCAGGTTTCAGAGGAAAGCGTGGCACTGTGTTCATTTGCACACGTACAGCTCATGATATGAGCCGCAGCACATATATTTATTTGCTCGTTTTTCTATTTTACAGAACTTTAGCATAATTTTTGACATCTTATTTGATGATAATCACAATACAACATCATAATTATTATTTTAAACACTTCACTTTATTATGGTTAATTTCAAATTTTTGAGTTGTAAAGAGTTAACGCTAAAATGAGGGTTTGCATTTAA